ATCAGGGGAAGAGTGTGAGGAGTCCTCCCCCTGAGGAGGAATGCGTGGCAGAGACAACATGTGATAAACTGACCGCAACCCCCTTTCCACGTCCCCCTGCACCGCTTGGGGGGAGGAGGTAGAGAAAATCAGGAGTAAAGTTGAGCCTGGGAAGAAGGGAGGGGTGGGGGGAAGGTGTTTGAAGATTTGGTTTTATTTCTCATTACCCTTCTCTGATTTGATTAGTAATAAATTAAACTGATTTCCCCAAGTCGAGTCTGTTTTGCCCATGATGGTAATTGCTGAGTGACCTCTCCTTGTTCTTATCTTGACCCATGAGCTTTTTTGTTATATTTTCTGTCCCCTGTCCTGTTGAGAAGGGGAGTGATAGAGCAGCTTTGGTGGGCACCTGGCATCCAACCAGGGTCAACCCACAACAACCTCTTAACATATTTATTTTTGTTTGCCCAAAGAGAAGTCCTGAAACTTTCTAGAAAACTTGTTTTCCTGCCCTAAGTCAGATGTTCTTCATCTAAAACTCAAAGCTAGAAAGACAGAAGAAAAAGTTACAGCAGATGTCCCAGGGTAGTCTCAGTTGTAGAGCCATTACTGTGATTCATAATGGAAGAAAAAACAAAGAGGCATTTCAAGTCAACCTGTAAGCATTCTCATCTGGGTGGGTCTGGTCAATGTGTGCATATCTACATTAGGAAATTCAGCATATATAAATATATAAATAAAACATATATACAGTACATAGTCACATTCATATAAGCCATAAATTGACATATATTTACAAAAATATTTGCAGCTATGTTTTACACTTTCAGGTCCACATCAGGAATTTAATTATTTAGCTTCTTCCTTGTGAACTTGATCACCATCCTAAGTAGGAATCTGGGATGAACTTGTACCTTATATATTCGCAATTGTCAAAAATAAGAAAGAAGAAAATAATCTTCCAAGGAATTCTGCCAAGTCCGTAAGAAAAGTTGAAACTTGTCGAAGCATTAGCTGCCTCACTGAAGAGTAAATTACATGTTAGCAAAAATTGAGAGGCCTTCTCTTCTTCATGTGGAAAGACAGTACCTTGCTCTAGTCCATAAATAAATTTGAAACTCATAAAACATCAGGCAGAGCACAAACTGGGTGCCTGACAGATGTCTGTAGTATAAACTCATGCATAATTACTATTCTATTTGTCTCAGTTTAAACTGGTAGAGCGGTGAAAGAGAATGAATGTAGAGATGAAAATGCATACATCAGGCTACCTTACAGGGTAAAAAGGTAGAGAGTAGACTACATCCTGTTGGCACTGTTATAGCTTCCTTTAACAGTAAGTCACATGGTTAAAACAACGCCAAGGACCTCATATTTATACAGTCCATATTATACAGTTCTGTGACTTCCAGGGGCTGGACATATTTTATTTACTTCTCCAAAGATGGAAAAACATTTCTTTGCTGCTTCATAAAATAGTCTTCTTAGGTATACAGTGCAGGTTCCAGCATGGTTTTTTAATTTGGTGGATTCACACTTTTATCATTAAATAAGTTTTGCAAGAGGAATTAAAGCTTTGGAGGTGTTGTTTTCCTTTCAAAGAATGCTTGGAAGAAACAAACCTCAAAATGCAGCAGTTTAAAGTGCCTGTACGTGAAGACCCGTGGGCAAAAATCTTGCCATGAACCATCCAACCATGGCCTCAGATAGCACTTTCAGCAATAGGCTGTGGAGTCATCTCTTGCTCCTTGCTATTCTCTGTGGACATGTCCTGGACCTCCTGCTGCTGATAGATATCTTGGACCAGCATGATGTTTGTGTTCCTCCACTCTCTGTACTTCACTGCCGTCAACTTTGGGTCCTCTAGCAACTGGTTAATTGTGGCGAGGTCATGTTCCTTACACTAGGAAGAGAACAAGTGGTTATTTCCCACAGAAACTGTCAAGTTCATTGTCCATAACAAAAACACTCTGGGAACATTATAGAACCCTGTCACAAGGAGATGGCGAATTATCCATCTTCCTGGCAACTTGTTCCCATTTTTAGAATGTAGATCATCAAAGTTAAGCCCTCAGCAGAAATTTGTCCCAGTTGCAGGCAAGATTATGATTTCATGTAGATTTTTTATTTTATAGGGTCCTTAGCAAAACTTCATGAGAGAGGATTCATGTGAAAATTAGACATTGTTATGCTGTCTCACAACAGGTTAGTACTTGCATGAAACTAGACACAACAGCATTTATTTCTGTAATTCACACCAATTCCAACTTTCTCAAAAAATACTTATTCCCTGGCCACATTATAAATGTCTTTTTTCTGGAAGCTAGACAGAAAAAAATTTTGGCTGTAATCTGTGCACTGGCAGTAGAGTTTATGGGTGGCTAGAGCACATGTGGCTGCTAATACATCTACCAACAATGACTACTAATAAATCTGGTCTCTACTTTTAGAAAAGAGCAGCTCAGACCGTATATTGCAGGCACCCTGGTTCAATGATAAGACATGAACAGTCACTGATATACTGATATAGGGAGACTGAGACCTTTATGTCACAGAATCACAGAATGGTTGAGGTTGGAAGGGACTTCTGGAGGTCATCTGGCCCTACTCCCTTCCTCAAGCAGGGGCACCTAGAGCAGGCTGGTCTGGACCGTGGTCCAGGCAGCTTTTGAATATCTCCAAGGAGAGAGACTCCACAGACTGAGCAACCTGTGCCAGTGCTCAGTCACCCTTACAGTAAAAAAGTGTTTCTTGATGTTTGGAGGGAGCCTCCTGTGTTTTAGTTCGTGCCCATTGCCTCTGGTCCTGTCACTGGGCACCACTGAAAAGAGCCTGGCTCTGTCTTCTTTGCACCCTCCCCTCAGGTATTTATATTCATTGATGTCCTCACATTTTCTGACACAACGAACCACTTGGCTTTTCCAGCCCTTATTGCCTATCCATGCAGTGTATCCCAGGATAGAGAAGACCTACTTAGCAGCTACAATTAATGGAGGCACCATGCTGCACTAACTAACCTTTACTGCATTTGCCTAGCTCCATCCCCCTAGTCTGTGTGTGAAAGCAATGGAATAGTTCTAATCTTCTCCTGCTGCCACCAGTTTCATCATGCCTGAGGACACTCTGTGCTAGTGGCTGCCTTGAGAACACCTTGAAAATGCTCCCACACATTCATGACATTTCCAGATAGTAGCAGTAGTATGCTAACACATCTGTATCCCACCGCTACTCTAATGAATTATCAACTACTCTAATCCCTGTGATGCCTGAGCCACTTTTGAAACACAAAAACTTGTTCAACTGTTGGTTTGCACAGGTCCTACCTTCAAAACCTAGTGCCAACCCTTGTAAGAGGGCTTCTGGCATTGATGCAGAAGTATGCATAGTGAGCCGAAGAGAAGAAGAAGAGATAGGGAGGTAAAGATGACTATTTCCAGTAGACAAAATTGGTGACAAAAAGCCATGCCATGGAACTTTTCTGTAGCACTAAATCTATTTCCCACATTCATTAAGCCTGTGATGCATTTGCACACAGCTTCCCTCTCTTCCAAACTATCCAAAGCATGTTTTGTTAATGATATATTGTGGCAGCAACATTAATCTGTTGTTAAAGATGTGGAGTCAAAAGTCCAAAATTAAAATTGCACTGAATCTTGCATAAATCACTTATCTCAAACTAACAGGGTTTTAATTAAAGCAGAGTAAATATGGATCAGATGCAAAACCTTTCTGATTTTTAAATTTCCAATAGATCATTTCCAATTATCTCATGTCTCATGTTGTATGTTAAGAAAATTGATTTTAAAAGCACATAATCCCACTGATGCAAAGAATGTGGCACTTTCCCACTGCAGGCATTTGCCTTTCAGACAGGCTAACTTAAACACTGCTGTGTATAGAACTCTGTTTGTGTCTGTGAGAAAATGTCTGTGCTATATTTGTCTTGTCGATACTCCAGTTTCTTAGTTTGAAGAAAGCAAAAAAAGATCAACACATTTTGTTCATTATGAACACTCCAAAAATGATTTTTCTATATTAAATACAAGTGTTAGACAAGCCTAAGCTTATAAACACTGTTAATCACAACTTATACAATACTCCCATGCTAAATCAATGCAAAGCTGTCCTCCTTGCTCGTGTCTGGCAGTAAGGCTTCTAAGCTTCCATTCAGCTCCATACTAAAGAAATTGATTGTCCCACAAGATACAACTTCATTTTGTACTAACTGGTTCTTAGGTTTATTAGGGAGGCTTCTACTGGGGAAAACTTTGCAGTTTGTTTCTATATTTAGTTTTCTGTTGCATAAAATAGGCATACTTTTTAAACTAACTTTCTGTTATATGGTGGCCTCACTTTATTGTTGATGCAGATGAATACCGCTATAGTCAGTACCATGTCACTGAAGACTCTTTGATGCTGAGGAGAGACTTCACCAGGTCTCATAGGGAGCCTGGAAGCCCTACAACAGGGAGAATGCCTATATTCCCCCTTGTCTTTTCAACTGTATCTTCAGGAATTTTAACACAGGCCAGAGTGCCAAAACCAAGCCTCCCATTACAACTAATAATCAAATCAACGGTTGTGCTGATAGGAGAAGTTTTTCATGCATTTCTCCAGCATGCAGTACCTGAAGCCAAATACATGGACTTGAAACAAGATACTCAGTTCCTGCTTCTAATGTATACAAAAAGGAACAAGGGAAGCCCCAGGTTTGTATTTATTCTTTCTTCTCCTTACAATTTAAATGTTATGGTTAAGCTTTCTGTTTCCCTCAGTACCATTCAGAAGCAGGCTTTGAAATCCTGTGACACTTGAAGCTGGCAAGTAAACAGCCTCATAAATCCCCATATTCCAGACAGATTTACTGGCCCTTTCATGGAATGTCCCCTGAACCCCTCCACCCCTCCAGTTCATGATATGTTTCCAACATAAAAGCAGGATGCTTTTGTTATTAAAAATATTTTAGTTACAGGAGGTCTTTACAATAGCTTTGGCACATCCTGTACATTCTCCAATAATCACATAAGGAAAACTTTTTTTGGATCAGGGTCATTTTCATGTCCTTTATCATCAACGTACTTTGTCTGCTCTTCCTTTTTAAGGCTCCCCTGTTTAGTGCATTCAGCCGAGCTTGCAAGTTTTCTAGCTAACTAAGAGACGCTTTCTTTATTAAATTTTCCAAATGGGCTGGAACTTCTGCAAGAAGGGTCCCTTCTGAACTATTGCCTCTGTTTCTAGTTCAAATTTAACAACAAACCACAGATCAGTATTCAAAATGAAGTAGAAAACAATTTCAAAAACTTAACCAAATTCTCTGGGGCTTTAAGTAAATATGTAATTAGAGTTTGGCTGAAGTCTAGGCTTGCTTCTTTTTTCATCTAAACTGTTTCTTTCTCTTGGCTCACTCTGCAACCTCACCTTTAATGTGCTGTTCAGCATTCGAATTTTGTGGAGTTTCTCATTAATGGAGGGGTTTTTGCTGCGTTTGATAAATGACTTCCTAAGCTCCTTCTTCGTTGACAGCCGACGATCACCAATGGGAGACAGGCTTGCTTGTTCTAATGACTTGTAAAGTCGCTCCATCTCATCATCATCACATTTTTCCTGATCTGCAAAGAAAAGAATAAATTGGGTATGAGAACATGAATATAGCAGCAGAGAGCAGAAATGTTGAGTGCAGCCATCAGAAAGGCACTCAGCCAAGTCAAAAAGTAACAGTATTGGAGTTAAAACCAAGGGCAATTTTTAGGGTAATTTATAGGGTAAAAATGCATATGAGAAAGACATACTACCAAACTTAAATGTTTTTAAGAATCAGGCCGTGATCTAAACAGATACAAACATGTATTTCCACTGATAGAGTGCTGCTTTAATGCTCCAAATATATCACAGACTTCGAACAACTGTCAGTAACGCTACATTTGAATGAAAACAACTTTGATAACATCTCCACTCATTGAGCTTTTCCCTACATGCTGCACATGGTGAATTACATTTCCACCTGGCAACACACAGGTCAAATTCTATTTGGTGTACTAATTCATCGCTAGGTTTTGGTAATTATTGAAACCAGAGTTTAAAAGAACTGAGCAACGAAATGAAACGTAGGAACATTTCGGGGGCCCCAAAAGAAGGTTTCTAGAAAATAGATTAAAACAGAAACCCTTCGGGCACCTGATGTTTAACTCCTGCTATTCACAGATTGCAGCATAGAATTTGCTTGTGGTGCCTCACAACAAAGCCTTGATTATCTCCACCTTAATTATTCTGATGGGTCCCAAGCTGCAGCACCATCTTCCATGACAGAGAGGACATGAGAGGAAAAGCTAGCAAACAGTTGAGAATGAAATAGCATAAAATAAGATAAAAATTGAAGCAAAGACATTTTTTCAGAATAAACCAGCTTAAAAATGAACAGTCAGAAACTAAAAATGTACCAGGCATATATAGGGGCATTTTGGCAGAAGGCCATTCTCAGCAACAGACTGCGCAACTCACTTCTTGTCCCTCAGTCCACACTGCAAGCTTTTCTACTTCAGTGTTTGCTAAAGGAAAATCTTAAAGTTGTTGGTGTTTTCAAGGTGCTAATGAGTCCCACAAGATCCACTGGGATAACATTCATTTTTATTTCACTGGGGATGGTGGTGGTGGTTCTTCCCAACTGCAGTCCTCCATGTGCCAGTTGAACTGGCTGGGCATTTTTTCTTTCAATTAAAAGTTAACCGTTGACTTTTCTAAACCATCTTCAGTCAGCAAACATTTTCTGAACAAAAAGAAGTCCTTTTGCTCACTCATGCCACAGCAAAAAGACTTCTCCAACATGTCAGCACACTTAGGAGACTGCTCCTTATCTTTTCCATGTTTTAAAAAGTACAGCATCCTCCTACACCCCTGTTCTTTCTAAATATTTAGGTTACAAGAAAGGTTTATGATATGCTACAAATATTTGCCTTGACTGTGTTGCTAGCCTTTTTTTCACTACGTTGTGATTATGAAAAGGCTGCTGTAACTTGACAAGAACTAAATATAGCTTCCAACCTCGGTACAGTGCTGGGGGAGGAAAAGGAGAACTGTTGTATATTTAACAAGCTGCGAGAAATGGAAAAAAATGTAAGTGTAAGGCATAATACACGGCAGTAGTATTTCCTGAAAACTGTCAGCTCAGGCCATGAGGCTCGTAATTATAACAAGCTTCCTGCCTACTTTCTTGGGATGAAGCAGCTGTTTGTTTCATTAGCCAGCTCCTGCACAGGACTGGCTCAGCCCTGCTGTAGACATCACCCCCCAAGACTGTGCACAGTATCACTGAGAGAGATAAATTGGTCTTTATCAGGTATCCAAGAAAGAGTATATAAGAAGAAAAACAAAATGTACTGATCCTGTCCAGCAACTTTAAAAAATAGTCAAGTCATGTGGGACATGTGGTCCCTGCTGCAGGTATTTTCTGAGGTGAACTCATTATGCTCCTCAGGGTCCTAAAAGGGTTGCAAAGCAGCAAGCATGACAAAACACCCTCACTGAACACTCTTATTCCATGCTAAGTACTCTGATATCTTCTGTGCACTTGTGAGTGAAGGTAAGGAGGACAGTAATACTCAACACAGAAAAAGATGGAGCCAACGTCAGAAAAGCCCACCAAAAAGCTCCAAGAAGACACAATTGACCAGCAATGTGCACTCAGCTCCTGCATCCTTTCAAGATTGCAACCTTAAACTCCTCTCCTATTTCTTGTTCTTCCACCACTCCCACTCCCTAAAGGATTGATCTGATCGGAGTCAGGTAATTTCAGAGGGAAACGAATGTGCCAGATTCTTCAGATCAGGTGGAAAAAGGGAGTAAGAGTGAAGCAGCTAAATGGGATTTCAGGAAACAGTTGGAAAACAAAGGTGAGTGAAACCTACAAGTGGTGTGGAGCCAGGCATGAGTCATATAGTACTTTTGTCTCCATCTTTGTTTACACTGATGAGCAGTGAACTTCTCCGAGAACAGTTAAAAATAACAAAACCGTATCTTAATATTGTGCTTTTGTATAGAAGGAGACACTGTTGCTACTGTCAAAGCCAATTCTGCCAATAAATCTCTATAAATTGAGGCCAGACTGTCTGATACCTATCTGGACTTTTACTTTCAACATCCTGAGTTCACCCAAGCCAGGCCCAGAAAGCAAAAACCCATGTTTTGCAGGCTGAACACACTAGATGGATGCTGTAATTCTGAAAGGGGGAGAGGTAATGGAGGAAGGGGAGAGGCATTATTTCTAGCAATCAATTAACAACACCAGTAAAATAATCTGTGATAAGAAAGCATATTTCTCCTCACTTGAACAATGGTGCATTACCGTATTTCACAAGTCTCTTAATGCCATGAAAGTAAATGAAGAAAGCACTACCTATAGTTTGCTTTCTTGCTTTCCCCACAAACATCCAGTTAAGATTGGGTAATAGAGATAAAGCAACCTGACTCAAGCCTTAAGCACAGACTGGACTTTTTCTCCAGATTCAAATATCCACAGCACATTCTCACAGAACTTGATATTGTTTAATTTCCTTGCACCTGGAGTCAGAGCACTGACCTGCAGATGAGCGAGTCTCTAATAGAAGCAGAGGCATTCCCCAGCTCTGTATTTAGACTTCAGTGACTTGGATTCCTCCTATGAAACCTGGGATGTCTAGACCATGCTACTGAATTGCTACAAATTATTTGCTTTGCATTACAAAGTAAAAAATTATGCTAAAAGCACATAGTACTCAAGCTCAGGAACTGGTGTAAAAATGAACAGATTTTTTGTGTCAGCCTCCTAAAGATAAATGTACCACCCCTACCCTGAGCTTTGTAAACCTCAGGAGGTTTACAATGATGGATATATTCCACTGGTAAAAATTTTTAATAACATGGACAGGTTGGGCCCCACTAGCACTCCTCTGAAGTGAGTCTTTCCAGACGAGTCGCACAGCTAACACCAGGCACATTCAAAATTACTTCAAAATATAATATCGCAAGTTATCTCTTCCACCAGTACTCTTCAAGCTAAGCACTTTCTCAGGCATGCACATTGGGAAACTGAAATGCTACTACAGCACTTCTTTATCTCACCCTATTTTAAAGATAAAATACATTAATTTTTCCCTCAGTTCCTACAGAAGGATTAGTGGTAAGGAACAAACAGCAACAGTGGAAGGATATTACATCTTGTGTGCATTTAGGAGCATGTATGCGCACAAAGGGGAACATGTGCATCGTGCACTTTTCCCTTGCCTTGGCAGTATTAGCCATAAGCAATTCTGCTGAGTGATGCCACTGGGAAGATCAGTCTTCCTGGGGTCCTGCACCATGCCCTTCACTCACAAGCCTCACAGCCTGCTAAAGCTTCATAGCACTTCTGGAAAAATTCTGTAGTATTGTATAGGTTTTTTAACTTTTTTAGACTCCACAGTGGCGAAAGTGGAAAAGAACTAGTGCTGACCTGAGGAAAAAGGAATTCCTGCCCTGAGATATTTTAACATTCAAAAGAAAAAGACCTTCTAGGTTGGGGGTGAGGAAAATAAAGTAATACTTCAGGCAAGTCAGAACTTCTGACAAATTCTCTTTCAGGAGAAGTAAAACACAATTTTGTGGCTTGATGCCACTTATCTGGAATTCCCCTCTAACTAACAGGAGATATCATAGACAAGAGCAAGCTGCCAAAAGTTCAACCTGCCAGCTCTTCACCTCCTCAATTTTCAGCTTCCACCATCCTGTCAGCCAACTTGCCACAGGTGGGAGACATTAAGGTATTGAGACTCCCCACCTTGCAGCAGCAATACAGGAGCCTGCCTGAAATCTCAACTTTAATGCTCTTTAAGCCTACAAAAGTGAAATTACCCAGAACTTTTAAAAAAACAGCTGTGAAAAATCAAGCTGATTGTTTCTCAGCAGTAAAGATATAGAAATTGGCGATGTTTGGCAGAAAGAGCATTTTGCATTGAAAACCACCTCCGCCAGAACATATCTCACTAACTCTAAGCTGAAATGTAAATACTTGCTCTCCCATTCTCTACCTGATATCTCACAACTCTCTAACTGTGTATTAATCTCAGGAAAAAATCTGCTTCTTCCTCCTGTCTTTGCTACTCTTACGAGTTTCTTATGGTTGTGCCAAAACCGCTATTTCTGATTCTGCCAAAACCTTTGATGCCAATGGGGCAACATATAGTCCCAGGCTGGGGAGAGGAGAGGAAAAAAGAAGTCATAAACCACTTTTGCCCTTATTTACCTACCTACACACACCACCCCACACCCATCTATTTTCCATAGTGGCAGTAGATTTTTTAATGGGGATATGAGGACACCTCGAGGAAATCACCTTTTCCACAGAATTACAGAACAGAAAAGACAGGAAATATCTGAATTAGGAGGGCATAGCTTAGGCAAGCTCCTCACTGGCAAATGCAGAACTAAAGGTAGGAGATAGTGGGAGGAAATAACAGGAGAAGTGTGTTACCACCAACAGTTAGATGCTCTTGACTATAACAGTATAGCAGATTCAGCAATGGGGCATGCTATTTTAACAAATTGTGACTGAACTGGAAACAACACAAATAAGTATCTCTTTTTCAGAGAGTTCAGAAAACCATGACACCGTAGCTTTCACAGTGATTTCTAAAGCCTTTTTGATGAATAGCAAAATAATAATTCAAACACATTTTTTTCTCTATACAGTTGTTCTCAGCATAGGCATACTTCTTGGCTAGTCTCAGCCACAATCTAGCCACTTTCTGTAACTTTTGCAGAAGTCACAAAGGGGCCAGAGCACACCACAGGATCTGTTCTGGCTATTACTGGCACAGGCAGACTCCAGAGGGGAAGAGGAAGTCAGTTCTGAGCAAAGAAGGAGCTGACTGCATCCAGCTCCTATTTAACCAACTCCTTCCCACAGAACCAACCCTGATAAAACTCAAGTGGTGTATGAAAAGCTTTCCAGGTTTTTCAAAATATCAGCATGCACCAGATCTTCTACCAGCTACTGTGAGCTAAGATAAAATAAATAAACCAGAATTGGTACCATAAGAATTCCTTGCCAAGACACATTAACTTCACATGATCATAAACCCCTCAGAAAATGCAAGGAAGAAGGATGTTATTGCTATAGTAGAAGATCCCTAAATAAATACAAACACACATTCCTGTGTTCTTGTAGTAACCTCTCAGCTTCTGCAGCTTCCTTTTGTTACTGTAGTGTTTGATGATGGTGGTGGTGGGTAATAGTCAGATACTTTTTGTTCCAGCGGTTGCCAGAAGAAATACAAAGGATGGAGTTCAACTGCAGAGTGTGTCTAGCCATCCCAGACAGGGCAAGGCCAGCTTCTGGATATAGAGCACGTAGTCAGATAGTTGTTTGTATTCTCAACTGTTTCTTGTTTACCTTTCAGTTTCTTTGTGTCACAGGCAGCTTTGAATCCTTTGGCATTATGCATGTAGCAAGCTGCAATGCAGAAGTATTCAATATTCCCGCAGAGCAAATGGAAACATAACACTGATCTCCTTTCAAAAGGGAAAACTGTTAAACTCTCCTTTTTTGTACCTTTGTATGACCCTCTGGTATGTAACCTCTCATCAGTAATTGGCGCTGAGAATTAAGACTGAGAATGGTCATAGCACCACTAAGAGTGGTTGGAAAGGTCCTTAAAAATATCATAAGGTACAGCTCCTTGCACCAGACACTTACAGTTGCTTAGCAGATTTCATTAAATAATTTTCATTGAAAAATTAATCCATGATCATTTAGTTGAATCTGTAGTTTCTCTTACAGAGATTCGTCCATTTATCTCTGAGAAACCTTTCTTTGTTTAACTCATCGCTGAGGTTTCTTCACTGGTTCTGTATTTTCATTATAAGCTCTTCCCACAAAGCCACAACTACTCTTTTTTTCCTTCTAGGTACCAACTTTTCTTGCATTAGCCTGTGTTTCTGACTTTTGCCAACAAAAATGCTCTTCAGTTCTTGAAAACTTTCACCTCAGCTGCAGGCTGCTATCAGCTACAACCAAAAATTCCTCATGGGGTTTTACTAAGCAGAATGTGGCCACAAAGCAGAGTGCGTGACAGGTTTTTTCTATCCTCACAAGGAGAAGGAGAGAGCATGGACACACATGAAGGCCCTGGGGGGTGTGGGTTCAAAGACCACATAGCTGTTCTGATAACAGTGGGGCCAGCTTTACGCACACAGGACATGCGCTTTCAGGACAGATGCCGATGCAAGACAGACCTGTCTCCGTCTGGACGCAGTCTCGTTACTCTGAAACACGACAAGCTGTCAGAAATGCACTATTCAGAAGCGTTGTAAAGCAAATAGTACAGACTGCACTGAGGTATGCATTCTTGTTTCACATCAGATAGCTGGGGTGCTCTTACTAGTTATTGTAAATCATAAGGCTTTGCAGCTAGCTTTTACCCCACAATTTGAATTCGTCTCACAATATTTGTGCACATCTTTGTCAGCTAGCTGGAGGCGGAAGTTCTTGGGGGATAAGCCACAGAACCAGAATTGTATCCCTTGTGATAACTTTCATTTGGAACCGAATTGCTTTTTTATGTTAATCCTTCTTTCCACCTCATTCTCAAACTGAAGTAGATTAACTAATCTCCTTGCAAATTATTTCATATATTTTTTCAGTGGCCATTGCAAGGGGTGGGTGGGTGTGGACAACCCCACACACCAACACTATCCATCCCATCCCCATACTATGCAGACTGAGAAAGGAAAAAAAAATGCCTGTATGGTGTATGTTTTACTTGCTCAGCGATGGGTTATGATGCAGACGGTAACTAGTGAGGTTATACAGTTTCCATAGTGACAGTCTCATTGAAATGATCTATTTCTGGAATTCCACCAGAGATCACCAGTGTGGTTAGAAAAGAAGTGCTCTGCAATCAGGGTCAGCCATCAGCTAAGCAGTGCGCAATGGAATAATTCATTTCCCCAGGAATATTGTTGGGAAAATTAAACCACCTCGCAAATAGCAGGAATATACCAAAATGCACTTTGATTTACATTTTAATCCAGTTTTTCTCAGCAAGTATTACTGAGTCTATCAAACCATGCTTTAAATGGTTATGAATGTCATGCTAATTCTATGTCCATCTATAAAAGTACTTGTCACCTTTACATTATGATGGAAAGCATTAACCTATGCGTTATTGCAGGTTTGCTGACAATACCAGAGTAACATATTCTAAGCAAAAGTTTAGATCTCTGAAAAGCAATCACTGAACCTTGCTCCAAGGGGTCTATAAGACACCATGCCTCCACTCCAATAATCCACCTGAATGTACCTGATAATGTTTCCCAAAAGCATTACTTGGTCAAATTTAACCCAGAAGGTTGAATTAGAAAAGGCAGTGCATTTACTACAACTTTGGAACATTTTAATTAGGGACCCCATTTCTGCCAGGCCCAACCATTTCACTACTTGCAGTGCTAGAGCTTATGGGAATTAGATTCCACGGGAACTCTCTCAAAACATCCACTCTTTTCCACCACATAGAAATACTACATGTGCTCACTCTTAGTTTTAGTTCTTACTGTCTTCATTGCTACAGAAGTGTCTAGCAGAGCAGTCTAGAAGATGAACAATGAAGCTGAGTGCAAAACACTCTGAAATGAATTTTCACTTTTGTTAAAATCTGTACTTCACTCAATTTCCTTTTTTTTTTTTTTTTTTTTTTTTTTTTTAAAAACAGAAAAGCTATACATAGGCTACAAAGGCAACATGTAGGAAAACATATGACAAACTAAAGGGGTGCTAACTGTTGATACCTGTAAAACAACAGGGACACTGACAATGTAACTAATGTGCCTTATACTGTCACTTATGTGATTCAGCTCTCAGTGCCCAGTTCACCTACAGAGAAATACCCTAAGTTCCCAACGAGTCCAGTGCTGTTTCCTTCCATCTTTGCATTACCTCCAGCCTAGCTTTTGGATGCACCTTTGTTTTGCATTGTGCTGAGACAACACTGCTCTTTCAGCAAAGTACTCACTTCAAATCTTCACAAGGATTTCGAATCATGGGTAGAGCTGATGCACAAGAACATCACTCCTTCCTTATGTATTGCACCTCTAGCATTCTTTCCTTACGTATTACTTCTCTAGGCAGCATGCTGAGTATCTTCTCATTTCAGCATATCCTATGCAAGAAACACCTCTTATGCTTCAACTGCTTTTAATGCAGGAAGAAACAGCTGTGCTCAAAAGGCAAGACACATTGCCTCGCTATGGTAGGAGAATTATTAAGAGTAACAGTGACCAAATTCTGGAACTGTGTCACCTTTTTCATTTAGCAGTACATTTCGGTAGGAGGATACCTATGCAGATACCCATTTACTTAAACAAAATCCAGTCTTAATGGACTTTCTGATTCAGGATTGCAGTTGTTTCCCCTTGATTACAGTGATGCTCAATGAAACAAATAGTGAATACGTACTGGAAGTAAACACAACTGCTTTTATTTTAAAAATTAGATTGACCTAACCCCATGTTCACCACTTCCTACATAGGGCATTTTGCTTAGGGCGTCATTCTGTGGCACACTTTCTTAAAATTTTGATTCAAACCTGACTAATAAAAGGTGGCTGTATTGAAATAAAGCAAGCTAATAAAAGTATGTCTGTTAGGATTTTATACAGAGGCTACGATCTTAACATATAGGTAAAATTTGAGAAAAGTTGTGAACATACTTACCAATTAGATACTAGGTTATATATTTAATGCGCAATAAACCAAATGTTTGTTATAAATGATGTGCCACTGGAAAACTCTTCAGTGAAGAACATAAAGGAAGGAAGAGGAAAGGAAGTTGAGGAAACCCCCTGAACTGCCACATTGTATGGCGCTGCAGACAAAAATCTCCTCTGTCATTAGCTCACCTTTGGCTAGTGATCTCTGTCGCGTTGCATCTGGCACAGCTAGACAATGTGTATCCGGACCTAAAAGAGAGTTCTGGGATCCACCACTGGGTTTGGAAAGCCGGACCTCCTGACTTTCTGCTGCTTCTCCACAGTCTACTTCTGGCGGCTCATCAGAGTGAATCTGTACACAGAAAGTTAAAGGCTGATCACCCTCTTCTGTGGCAGAGCTGTTAACTAGGTCAAGCCAGGACTGCCTCTCGGAATAAACCACTTTGGACGTCAAGGAAGAAGATGACTCTGGGGAGTTGAAAGCGCTTTCAGGAGAGGAGAGAGAACAAGATGCTTCACTTGACAAAGTCGAGGTGAAAGAAGACTTCTGCTGATCCTGCTTTCCAGAAACAAATGGGTGGGGAAAAGAAAAAAGAAAATTTATTTCCAAGTTATTCCTGTTCCTAGGTTCTGCGCATTATAGATATGCAGCTGAAATGCAAACTGACAAAAAAATTATGTAATCTGATTAATCATCCATCCAAACAAGCCTGTGGTATGGCAGCCAATCTCCTACAGAGCTGTAACTTCAGAAACTAAGCCACAAGGAAGCCAGAGGTAAAACAGATAAAAAACTGACAATGCCTAGAAACAAAAGACCAAGGAAAAATATTGGGTTGAATATAGCCTTCCATGTTAGGTCTGACACTCACATTCACTCTTTACTTTGTCTTCACTTCATTAGATTATTGGTCTAATCCAGAGTGCAGAAGAGAAACTCTGAATTAGCCATTAAACATGAAGTTGTCTTGAAGCATTCAATAAATCCACCAATGCCATAACCACAGACAGGCAGAAATGGGCCCAAGCACCGAAGTACCTTGACCTTCTCAGCACACAAAGCCATTTTACCTGGTTCATTCAAGGGACTAATCATTGACCAAGGCAAGAAGGTTGGCAGGTAATATAATGGCAAGTTAATGGTGGAAAGAAAAAACAGACAGCCATGGGGCAGAGGACAGTAAAAGGGGAATGGTACAAGATTTGTGCTGCTCATTCACCTGCTAAGGTTCACCCTTCAGCACATGAATCTGGAAAGGGACCCAAACTTCACTAGAAACACGTCAGAAATCATTAAGACATCCTAGGACCATCCATATTGTACTTGTCACCCTGCCTCAACAAGAGCACATACAACCAGAGAGGTCTCAGAGGCATCTAACAGTCATCATTAGTAGCTAGGAGTTGAATGAAAGAGGGTATGATAGATGCACAATGGAATTGTGCATTGAAAGGCTGAGAGAAAGAACAAAGTTTTGAAAAGTTTTTGGCTTCCCAGACAAGCAAGTAGATGCCTAGATCTTTGCCTACAGTAGACATTTACATTGATCGAGTTGTACTGTTATCTGGTCACCAAAAGCAACTCAGACAAGAAGAACTAGCACTAGTCTGCTTTTTAGCCACCAAACACCACTGAAAAGATGAGCCAAGAGAGTCAAATACACAAACACACAAATATACATACGAATATCCAGAAGAAGATTAATTGACAGTAATAAATAAAGTAATAGAAGACAAGGGGAGACAAAGAGTTATAGTGAAGCTCTTAGCAGAAACTATCAGAAATCATGATGAGATCATCATGATATGAAAGCCAGATTCTTGTATCTGCTACTGCAGAAATTTACTCCTTCTGCAAATCATTCTGGCCAATGCTAGAATCTGAATACCAGACTTGATGGACCACAATTCTGGCAAGTTTATGTTCTCAATATGTATGTAGACTAGATCTGTGTAAGGATTAAAACAGATGATAACTAAACTGGAAGTACTGAAAATTACTGAGAAGGTGTTGCTAGGGAAACCCAGACAAGCTGCAAACATAATAAAGGGACTAGCCTGGAATACTTATTAATAACCTGGTAAACTAGAAATAAGATGTATTCATATAAGCTAAACCAAGAGTGACAATTTTTTGGATTATGATATATGAATTTCTGCAATTCAGTGTTGCTGTAATGTATACTACTTCCTTTTTACATTTAAAAAAGCAAAGTAGATTTGCCTTCCTGTGCTTCTGATCTAGCTGTATCATGTAGCTACTAATCAATTCAGAAGATGAGGAGGACCAGTATCAGATTGTGAGTCACCATTTGTTTGTAGCACTTTCTTCACTTTTGCAAAGTTTCAAAGCCGCTCCTCCAAGACAGTCCTGAACACTGCGGGACCAGACTTGATTTATATTCCTATTACGAGAAGTATAACATTGTGTTTCACATGCATTTTTGTTTTTAAAAAGGAAACCTTCATAAATGCACCCTAAAGCAAGGGACAAGAAGTTGTCATAAACTACATGTATGACTGATAAAAACACCCTTGGGAACACAGGTGACCTGAAGCATTTAATCTAAGAGCTGCTATCACAAAGACAAATGTTGAAGCATTCATACAACTAAGCAGAACAACTGAACAGTAAAAGCTCTTGCTCAGATGGTGTGGATAGTCTAATTTCAGTTGTTCAAAGACAGGAAAGGAAGATGTTAGATCTCACCTCTATTTTTCTGGCATTTGTCCATGCAACAGAAAGTGCCAGTGAAATGAAAACTGTGCCTCACTGAGTGGAATATATTTTTGTTTTCATTTTCATTGTGTGTTAAAAAAATGCGGGTGAGAATAAAGATGACTGCCAGAATGCATTTCTCTTTCTCTACATATGTGTTGTGGTGGTTTGTTTTTTTTTTTTTTTCCTTTGGCATGACAAATGTTTACCTAACTTACTCAAGTGGTTCCTTTGGAAGTTTTGCAATCATCCATATAATAATAAATCTCAATTTGGGGACATTTTAAAAAACATATGCTTGAGCCAGGAGATCATAAAGATTCCACTGGAGATCAATGAGTCTCTAGGCATTTTTTAGAGAAAAATTATCACCATGAAACACCTCAACTGCTCTTTTGGGACTGCTTCAATCTATTGTCTCAAGTGGATAAATTAATACAGATGGTCAGTTTAACTTTTGTCCTACAGATGTTAAAATGTATTTGTTCCTCACTTGCTTTTTCCTTCCACAGTACCCAAAAGCATGCATAAACATAGAAAGCTCATGATCACTACTTTTTTCTTTTTTTTTTTCAAGTTTTAAAATGGTTTGGGTCAGCAGAGAACAGAACAGCAAGCGAAAACTTTGTGCTAGAAGTTCAGCAAAATGTTTGCTGCTCTAACACATAACAGAGCTTGCACCTGGGTGGTATTAGTTTCCAGACTAATAGTTTTCAGTCTGGAGTTCATCTCAAGAAGTTTGGAGACCTTTCTGCATAAGACAGCATTGGTTTGATTTTCCAAAATGTCCATAGCTCCTAATTCCTATTTTGCAAAATCCCTTTGGCACTCAGGAAGAAGTGCAACTTTAAAAAAAGATAAAAATAATAAAAAGAAATGAACCCCAGACAATGCCTGTGGCATTCTTGATGCTGGGCTGGGTTTCCAGGATGGGTGTCTCTTCCAGTAGCAATCTGAAAAGATTCAAGCAGGCCTTCCAAAAGTGGTGTACCCACAGGGTATCAACCCAAATCCATCACGTTTGGAACCTCATAGCTTGGTTAAAAAACTCTGCAGTGAATGAACAAGCATCAGCAATGTTTAAGCAGCCTTTCCTGAGACAACCAAGAGCTCCAGTCCTAGAATTGACTTCCCAGTGAAAGCTGTGCTTTCCCAGTCCTTCCAATGATTTTCTTGCTCCAGTACTTGTCCAGAAGGGGGAGGGGCATTAAAAGACAACTGACTTGCAGTCAAACACAGCTCTGTTGGTACCTAATTGCTCCCTACCCACCACACAAGCAAGCCGACCATAGGGCAGACCCATGGCAGCTGGAGCTTATTTCAGTAGCCACTTCTGGGATGAAAAGATGACAGCTTCGCTCAGGAGATACCAACTTTTGTCTTTCGTGGGGGAAGGGATTTTAAGCTGGGGATGAGGAGAAGGGAAATCAGCTGAGAGAGGTGGAGGCTGCAGGGAACATAACCTTTAAGGGGAAGGCTGAGAAAGCAGGACCCCTCAGCACATGCACCGTTGCCTTCCTCCCACACGTCCCTTGCTAAAATGTGGAAGCCAGCACTCAAGAAGAGCATATGGGAAGGAGACAACCGGAGATCGCCTCTGCAGCAACAGACTGACAAGCAGCAGGAAGCCAGAAAAACAGAAAACTGAAAAACCAGCACCTGTTTAAAACTCATCATCTGGAAAAATGCAGGCATTCACTTAGAGGTGAGCAGACGGAAAAGACATCTACAGCCTCTTAAAGGCAAGCCACTGAGGTATAAAATTCAAGACGCTTCATTATCGGCCCTCAGCCCAGAATAACTCTTAGAGACATATTGCCAAGGTTCCTATTTTCTCCGATATTTATAGCCGCTCAGCCACATTTAACTTCCAGTTAATACAGGCAATAAAGAATCACGTTTTACACAGCAGTGAACACCACGCTCCCCCTGAGTGCCAGGGGGATTGTTTTACAGTGATTAACATTACACAACTGTTTCAGGAGAGGAAGTGAAGACTGACTTATCTGACTGAAACAGAAGGGGGCAAGTGGGTGACAGTGTGACATACGCTCCTAGCCTTATGTGAGCTAATTAAAGATTGCCAGACAGGCAACCCTGTGCATGACATCTCCTTTTATTATCTCCTGTGACCGCGCAAGCTTCTCCAGCTCATCAGTATTTTTCAAATTTGTTCCTGGTTCACTGCCTCTGTGCCCACCCCAGCTACTGGATGTCATTTCAGCATGCAAGACAAGAACCTGGATCTCACTAGTGAGGCAGCAGATGCTTCCCTTCCATGAGATGCAAAGAGATGATTTAGTACTAAGTATATTACTGCATGCCCCTCGGTGTTGACTTTCAGCTGTGGAAGGGAAAGGCTTGAACTCAGGATTCCTTATTTCAGCTGCATTACCATCCCAAACCAGATTACTCATTTCTAAACACAGAATTAAGTAAACCTTATATTTTAAAGCACACGTAAGGGGAGATAAGATCACTGGGAAAAGCAACATTCTAGAAACAAGATTAATAGGGTGATAAGTGGCTAATAATTAGGTGAGTCAATTTGATTAGACACACAAGGGTGCATAGTGCTTATTCTAGTTTATGAAATGAAGCGAGGCAGGAAGGAATATTCTCGATAAATATTCTACAGCAAGAGAGAAAAATAGTATAGATTTTGGGAGGAAGCTTATTTTCTTTTTTTATAGTGTATTTTTCAGAGGAAACTGATTTTATCACTGTAAAAAGAGGCTTCTCTCCCTTCACTTCACTGCCACAAAAGTATCTTCAAATTCAGCAGTCTTAAGAACAGCTCACTCAAATAAATAAATACAAATCTGTTGGATGATGCTACCGGGGCCACAGAAAGAAAGAAGATTTGGGACTGATTAAAAAAAAAAAGAATAGTATGAAAAACTAGGTTATGGCAGTGTGTTAAAAACGTTGTAAAGAAAAGACACAGTGTGTGTGCAAGGTAGAGCGACACTTTCCTTTCTCCAGCAAGATAAATATACCTCCGTCTGAGGGAGCTGTTCTTTGCGCTGTGAGGCTCCCAGCAGTGCAGGCTGCAATAACTGTGTGCTCTGCCACGGGGCAGGGGCAGTCAGTGCATCCTCATTTCACGGGCACACAAGGTGAATATTTCTAGCTGCTGGACCTCAAATGTCCACCACCTCAGGAAAGTTTTGTTCCAACTAGCTAGCAACTAGAAACAAGCCAACTACTGTAATACTTACCGAAGGTGGAGGTGGTGATTGGACTGTGTACGGGGGAGGTGGTGTGTCTGTTATTTCTGGATCATCATGTTCACTTTCGCTGTAGCATTCTGAGGCAGACATGGAAAATGGGCAAAAACAAAGTGTTAGACCAACACTCATTTATTCCTCGCAGCACTGTAACCAAAGATCACCAAGTAGGATGTTCTGGGCTGAGGACCACGCTGTGACAAGTCAGTGTCTCCTACAGTGAAAATTAAACCACTTGTGGTAATGCTACGCTACTTCATGGCAACCTTTTAAGTCAAAAAATTTGCTAATTTGCTATGGCAGGAAACACTAGGTGGCACTGCTCTAGATAGCTTCGCAAACAGGTTTGGGGTGGGTTTTTTTTCCTCCCTTTGCAGCTTTTAAAAGAAAGGCAGCCTCATTTGTGGTATAAGTTAGGGAGACGTGTTGCAAGTAGTAGATGCTGTCCCTTAATCTCTGTAGCCAGTAAGTTTTCCTGCAGTTAGCAACAGGCATTGGTGTTTTGGCTGCAATTTTGGAGGAAACAGATTGCTCGCATTTTGCTTTGGAATCCATAGAGCAGCCTCATGAGAGGCTTCTGTCGCTACATGGTAACTTACATAGGCACGCCATGCAGCGTGGCAGTACATGTGCAGAGCTAGTGCTAAAAGTAAACACAGTACTCTAGGACTATACACCCCATTAATCTTTTTTTTTTTTTTTTTTTTTAAATAAAAAGCAAGCTGATAGAGTCTCAGTATCATTTGACATGCGGCAGACAGGCAGTCATGTTGTTATTTCTTTCAACTGCCCGTGTAGCAGGTGAAAGCATTTTATCACGTGCTTTTTAAAAGTCGATTAAATGAAGTGATAATCATTGATAAAATGAGACACAGAAAAGGGGAGGTAGTAAGTTGCTGGTTCCTATTCCCAGGGCCTGGCTGTAACCACTGGGCAGGATCACTTCCTTCTGCTAAACCTCCCAGCAAGCATCAGCCTTTCACATCTGACCTTTACAGGAGCAAGTGCTTGCATCCTGCCCTGCACCATGGGTGAAGGGTGACAGCTCTCACTCCCACCTGACTGAGCTGGGGACATGAAAAGTTGCAAAGACATAGTCGGAGCTTAATGACGACAACATGAGCGAGTGCCAAGTGTCACAAGAGCAGAGGCTGCCCCTGTGGTCTCCACGGGAGCTGGCACTCTGCGCTGCCTCTCCCTCCATCAGCTGCAGGCAGCAGCTTGTGCTGCCCAAGAGCAGCTGGGTCTCTGCAGTGGAAGCAACCCACCTCCTCTCTCCCCAGGCGGGCAAGGGTTGTTTATGTTCTGGGAGCCCTTTGCAAGAACTGGACTTCATGAGTTCACACCACTAGAAAGCCGTGTGTTAGCATGGTCTCTGGGAAATCATCTCTGATTATCTCATCTTTTCACTAAATTAATACCCGCACACCTTCTTTTTGTGCATGTCATTTGGGGGTTTAATAAGTGTGAGGGGAACAAAGTTTTGAGACAGAAGAATTTTATACATGAGAGAGAGGTTCCCAAGATGTTGCCAAAGTGAAACCTAAAGAGATTCGTTACTTTTTCTTCCCATACTGTTTGCAGAACTATAGGGCTTTTAATAGCAAAGCTCCTATTCTGTTTACTGGAAATATGTGCTGGCACATCTTAGCATAAAGGACTGAGGCTGGCTGCAATAAGGCCTATATCCAATTCTAAGGCTCTATTACTGTCTTCTCGAATAACTCTTAGTAAAGAGCTTATTGTTTCTACAGCTCCCCTTTTAGGCACACAGAAGAACTGAAAAAGAATCAACAGCTGTTTCTGATATTCTAAATAGGCAAATGGGGTTGGCGGGGGGGGGGGTTGTTAAAATGCATAGAAAGTACATGAATACACAAGAACCACCATAACAAGAGCCAAGACCCTCCTGAAGAGTTATGGTGTGTGATACAGAGGGGAGAACCAGGTCAGCAGGAAAAAAAAAAACTGACTGTGTGTAATGACAGCATTTTTCTGAAACGTAGCAATGCCTCTGCAAGGTTATGTCCACCCAGGCATGTTGGTGGGGTGCTGAACCTGGAGTAGCTGCTGGAGCACCTGTGACAGAACACGCGTGGAAAGATGAGGAGGTGTTTGACATCACAGTCAGGGTGCCTTTTTCTGAAGGGGAAATGGGCCACCAGCTTGAAAAGCTGAAGAAACCTCGGCTATGTTATGTTTATTGCAGGGTAATTAGACAACCTGCTGCAGAGGACACTGAGTGGATTATTTTGTATCTTTCTGTCATTTTTTTATTAAGATTAGTGGGCTGACTCATTTTGAATTGTTTTATCATTCTTGACTCAGCCAACACAAACAGTACTACATTTTTTGACGCTTTAAAAAAAAAAAAATTGTTTTCAAGTATGGAATTTTGACCATCCTCATCTTCCATCGAACTCCTCCTTTGTGAAAACATGGACACTTCCTCCCCAAATACAATTACCTTGCAGTACTTGCTACACAGCCTAATACTCAATATAGCCCTTTATCCTAATTATCTCAGACTGTTTTGATACAAAATTGGGTTCAATGAGGACACAGGCATTTTGGAAGAATTTGAGGGTATGGAAATTAACAAGTTGCCTGACAAGAAATAAAGAGGAACCATGAACTGAAAAGAAAGAAATTGATGAGACCTGCTGAATCTCCAGAAATCAGTGGTATCTATGTTTACCAACTGCAAAGCTGCTTTTAATGGCAGAGTATAAATGGAGCAAGAGTATAAACAGAGCCAGATCAGACTAATCAATAATGGCATTACATGTCTGTCCTGGTTTCAGCTGGGATAAAGTTAATTTTCTTCCTA